AAAGTCGAAGAAATTCTTCCTACCATGGGATGGGCCCTATGTGGTCTTGGCCAAAGTCTCTGAAGTGAATTACAAGGTGGTCAAACCCTCCACCACCTCAAAGGTCCGGTATTTGCATTTTAACATGTTGAAACCGTATGTAGAGTAGAACCCGCAATCCAACGAGGCTTCCCACCCTAAGCGTCCGACCCCTTCACGGTCGGTCAGATTCTTTGACGACCCTGGAATTAGAGACGACGAGTTGGAAATGGCTATTGGAGAGACCCACGAGTTAAGACCATTGAGGTTAACTACCCCACGACTACCTCCGAATGCCCGGTTGAACGACAAACCCCTAGAGAGCCCTAACCCAATAGAGGATCCGAACCAAATCGAAGCCGAAGTAGTGGAGACTTACGACGCAACCGAAATGGAGACAAGAAGGGAAGACGACCATCCGAATGCGCTAGCGGACCAGGAACTTGCTCCACCAGAACCTAACGAGTCCTTGGAGTTGAGGGGAGAGCAGGAGGCAGAGGGCGAGGGCCGACCTAGTCGTAGACGGCGACCTCTTGTTCGCTTTGGGATTGACTCCAACCCGAAATCAGACAAACACTATTAAAATTTTCTTTCTGTAAAAAAATAAATTTACAAAAATAGGGCATTCAAAAAAAAAAAAAAATATGGCATTCAAAAAAAAATTATAAAAAATAATAATTTTGCAATAACTTCATAAGGGGGGAGACCAAAACTTAAAACTTAAGGGAAAGTTTTAATGAATTTAATGGTTATACTTTAATGGTTATAGGCTTTCCAAATTCTAGGGGAAAATCAGATACTTAGGGATGCGATGGTCTTATTCATTTAGTCTTTCTTTTTTTTATTCTTGCTGTTTAGATCGTAAATTGTAATCTACATATGAACTCATGGCTGGTCGGGCTGGCAATCCTCTTGCTACTTGGAGTATGGCCCTCATCGGCAGTGACGATCAACCATACCGCCGGAGCAGTGTTCACGGCGGAGACTCCCCTCATCATTGCGAGCGCAATGGAAACTTCTTGGGTTTCGGTACCAGTCCCCGTGGTCCCTGCGATTAATCGGACATTCCTCGATATAGCCTTCCAGGAACATCAGTGTATGTTGGCAGATCGCTGGAAAGAATGGGATGGCAAGATCTGCGGTGACAACATCACTACGGAAGCATTTGTGAATCTAACCTACCTGGCATTCAAAGGCACTGATAGCGTTCAAAATGGCAGTACACAATTACGGGTATATCTTGGACGATGCGTTGAGTTCCTTGACGCGAGGATATATTCCCGCTACTCTTGTTCCCCCGGAAGTACTGACGAATATCTTAGATGGAATTCAGTTGGATAAGATGCAAGAGGCTATACCCAGGAACGAACTGATGACGTACTATGGATTCGAGTTGGTCCAGTCGACAGTGATCACGGAAACGGGGATCATCGTTTTGATTAACATTCCTGTACACCATACGATGGGCCTGCACGACGTCTATCGGACGACTCCTCTTCCCCAGCCGGCGAATGGGGGATCGACAGCGACTCAGTATAAGTTTGTAAATACACACTTGCTGGTGTCGGAGAGACGGGACAACTTTGCAGAAGTATCTGGAGAAGTGATCTCAGCTCATTGCAGTGGAAGCAGCCGGTTGAAGCTTTGCTTCCGACCTTTCGCGATGTCCCGAAGTAGTGAATCATCTTGTCTAGCAAGTCTCTTCTTCGACTTGCCTACAAATGCGTTGAAGTTGTGCCCTCAGGAGGTGATTGTTCTGCCAGAAATCCCCACGGCTGTGTACCTGGACGACTCAACTTATTTGGTAACTTCACGGGACGATGATTATACGCTTTTCAACTACAGCAGAGGAGCTAAGGAGAGGGGTGAACCCATATTCGGTTGCCTTCTACGACCTAGTTGCGATGGTAGGATCAAAACGCCAGACGGTGCTTTGGTCCTAGTGCCAGACCCACGGACCTGCCAGTACGAGACTGGATTAACGGTGATGATCAGACAACACCCGTTGATCCGGACCTTGTTTGCGACTTTGGAGGAAGCTGAAAAGAACCTCCCAGGAGTCATGATACCGGAGATCTTACGAGAGCAGGCTAGGAGTGAGATGGTCGAAGCACTCCGACTCAATCTGATCAAGTTGCCAGAGGGGTCGGTGGACGAAGAAGCCCTATCGGAGATTGCCAAGCCCTTTGCTGATGAAATTTTACGCAAACACACCCCTTTTCATAGGCAGATGATGCGCAGTGGACCTGTGCAACTGGGACTGGTGATCTGGCTGTTGGTCGCAGTCTTTTTAATATTAGGCTGCGTGTACTGGCGTTGTTTTTCAAGGAGAGCGCGTTTACTGGGAATTAATTGGTGTCGCCAACGAGGCGCGGACTTCGAGGACTCCTACTGTTGTGCTCCACCAGGACGAAATCGAGGGGTGCCGCCACCTAGATATGACCCCAACTACGAGTATGGATCACAGAGACCCCAGAGTATATCCCCAGGGACCCTCCAGAGATGATTCGTTCTCTGGGCAGATATACCTACCCCCCAGAGAACCCGCTAGCTCATCATTCGATGAAGTGAACCTTACCAGGACCACAGAGGGAAGTGGGGTGTCGAGCACACCGCTGATGGGAGGAGGCTTTAACTATATGCGAGGCAAGTGGAAGGGGGTTTCTGGACAAGGACCCCGGATCGGTACAAGCGCGCTGATGGACACCACTCTGTGAGGAGGGGAGGATGAGGCGACCAGGAGGGTGAGAACCAGTCCGACCGGTTGTGAGTCTAAAACAATTTATATATTCATGAACTCAATATAATGCTCATCGTATTCGGTGCTACTATACTAGGGTGTTACCCCACCTCACGGATATCTATACTTCGTTTCAAACATTCATATCTATCTAAATGGATGAGGTTGGATCACACCGTGAGGAGTAACTTGTTAGCAGTCATGTCCCCGAGTCAGCTCAGCTGACCCCTCATTCATGGTATAATCATACGTGCTTTTATTTGACGGGGACTGACTAGAGGTTTGCGATCACACGATACAATTTAGTAGGATGCGTTAGGCGACATTAAAGAGGTTGAAGATCATTAAAGACTTAATCAGGTTAATTTAGCGCAAGCTTAGGCTAATTCATAGCATACAAGACTTTCGTGGCCAGGCTTGCAGGTTAACCGACGAACATGACAGATTATAATCTTAAGTAAAAGCAACCGATTGATTGACGGGCCGTTGTGTCGCCTCGATACAAACATCTGAACAGGTGAAGATAAGGGAAAAAGAGAACCACGAAGGGTGAAACCGTGCATTGTTACTATCAAAATTCAGTCGTTAAGGAACCGTCGAATTTTAATAAATTCTCTAAATTACAAACGAAAAAAAGTCGCCAAAATGACAATTGTGTGGAGATCCTTCATCCTCCGAGCCTTCTTCACCATCCTAGACTACCAGGAAGAAGATGAGTATATAACTCTTTCACTGAAGAGTGGTGCCTCCCTGCACCTATTGGCAGACACCGCCTCCTGGCATGAGTTCCGGTTGTTTCTGCGGGGGCAGGGTTAGGAGACGGTCCCGGAGAGTCGAAGAGACGGTGCCTAGAGTCAAAGAGACGGTGCCGGATGTGAGCACAGCTCTCTGGAAGTTCAATCCGGGGGAGCCCGATCTGGAGAGTTGCTCAACTGCGGGCCAATTTCATGTACATGAGCCCGCCTTGGATCCGGTAACTGACACTTGCTCGACCGAGGGTCAACCGCCTTCGGAGAAGTCTGGAAGGGAGAGATTTTTCAGTTGGGAGAGTGATGAGGACTCTGCAAGCACCCACTCGATTTCCCTCTCCGACATAGCAAGGGCTAGGAGGAGGAGGCCCAGTGATAGGCCCAAAATTAGGGACCTCTTTGACGAAATCAGACATACCATTGGGGAGGAAGAATATCGGGCGCTCCAGGCCCAATGGGGAGAGGGGAATTGGTCAGACGAATATGACGAATCGTCAACCAATTCGGGGGCCGAAAGTTAGGAGAGGACAGTTTATAAACTCTCGCTAATAACCAAGGAATTTATCAAGGAAGGAACAGATTAAACTTATAGCTTAAACTTAAACTTAACTATAGCTTACACCTAAATAAAGTATAGATTGTATATAGTCAGTAATTCAGTATTTAATGAAGGAAAAAAGGGGGGAGAGAAAAACCTAACATTTTCCGGGAGAATATTAGACTAGAAGAGAAGACTGTAGAATCGGTAATTCTAGCAAATTTTCGACTTACCGACCGTGTATTTTATCCTAACATGATAGAGAAAATATTAGTAAATTTGGTTCAAATTCGGGTTATGGTTAGTTTATTGGGATCGTATGACTTTGTTGCTTGGGTCAAGATTTGACACCGAAGTCAGTTGGTATTTAAGTAAGTAGCGAGGGGCGGATTTAACTGATAAGAATCATACGACTTCGGTTACTTACCCGATTTACGATGCCAACCGCAGGGGGATGTATTTACGAAACGTGAACAAGTCGATAAAAACCCCGGACTTGGGACCCGTCAGCTTTGACAGGGGGAGTAGGTAAAAGGGAAAACCATAGGGGGCGGTTGTGCTTAAGGGGATGACAACACCGATATGAAGTGGCGTGACTTTAGCAAAAACGGAGCGCAAATAGAGATAAGAAGTGGAGGTTAGAGAGCAAATTTTAGGAGAAAGAGTTAACGAGCGGAAGATTCAGTAGGTCCCAGTTGTGGTCGCTATCTGAACTCAACAGTTAGTTGTTTCACAGCGAGTGAAGTAAGAACGCAAGTCGAAGTGCCTTGTGGAATATTAGTTATAGCAGAAGCTAGCACAAGTCAGAGAGCTTAGTCGACAGGTGTACTGACCGAGTACGCAGAAGAAATTGTTAAGCGTGTACAGATCGCAAACCATTCTGTTGTATATTATTAAATTATACGCTGGCCGAACTATTAGGCCCTTTGTTTTCATTCAGACTTATATATATTGAATTCAAGCGAGATATAGCGAGCAAGAGCATCACTGACCAAGGGGGAGCAATAGAATACAGTAGAGGACAACTCACCACTAAAATAACCCTTTCGGGATTGTCGTTAATACCGAGCCTTAGTGCCCCTGCTTTAGCACGGTAAAAGGGATAGCTTCGCAAGACCGTGCGTGGAAATCCTAAAGACGACAGAAACAGTTTGTTATTATTTTCATCTTAAAGCAAAAATCAGAACGGCTTTTCCGATGCGTATTGTTGAGTTTCTATAAAGAACGACACAAAGAGTTTGTATTTTACATCCATTATAGAAATCCGAATATTGGAACTAATATATAGGTTAGTGCTATTTTGACCTCAATAAGTTCATCTTAATCTAAGGCGGCCAAGCTTAATGACGACAGAACCAATGTACACTCAAATCAAACTGCCCAAATAAACTGTTTAGATATCAGTTCGGAGCAAATGCATTTCAGTAAAGCATTGAGAAATTTGTCGAATGCGGCGAATGCGAATAAACCAATCATTCGCAAGGGTGTTCACCCAAAATTTGCCCACTTAGCTGAGAATGCAAAAACGATCAAAAGACTAAGAACAGAGGATTTCACCATCGACTGCACAAGGTAGGAAAGCATAATCATTCATTTACTGACAATAGCAAGGATAACCGGTTGCTGTGCAAGTAGCACAGTATATGTTCCGACCATTGCCTTAAAAAAGACATATTTTTCAAATTATAGTCGTAATTTCTGCGTAGTGTGATTAAGGATCTGAACGAAAAATTAGAGCGCAGGCATATTCGACAGTCATAGTAGAATAAGCAAATTGGGAAACCATTTTTGTAAAAAAAAATGACCAAAAGCTACAAAATCAAAAAATTCAAAACGTTTTTCAAATGTTTTTCTTGCAGTATTTTGATTTTTTGACGTTTTTGTTTCCAAAATTTTAGCCAAGTGAAACTAAGTTTTTACCGCTTAAGTTAAGCAATTGTAAGCTTTTAAGCTAAGAAAATAAACTAGTGTAAGCCTGCTCGCTCTCTCGAAATTAGACGAAAAATCAAAAATTTCAAACCGGTTTTTCTCAACAACGGGAAAAGTGTTTGAAAATTTTTCAATGTCTTTTGAATCACAACTAAAATGGCTTTAAAATAATATATCACTCCGTTGGTCATTTCTGGTAGCTTATTTTGCGTGGAAAACATAAAAAAAAGTAGAAAAAAAGTTAAAGTACAACCGAATACAAAGTTCCTCCCAATTTTCCAACTGGTCGGAAAAATCGACCAGATTGAGGAATTCGGCTTATGGTTTGATTTTCTTGACCAAAATAGAATATTTTCCGACTTTCTTGAGTGTGCTCGGCAGGGTCCTTTTTTGCGTGTAGAGTGGAAAGTGGAGGTCTTGAGTAAAATACACAAGCCAGCATACCAACCAGTCTGAGAAATGAGCAAGGTTCAAGAAAATTTTAATCAAAGAAGTACTTTCAGTTTTTTTGAACAATTTCACTCATAGACAACGAAGAAAACAGGAGCAGAAAAGCTTAAATGTACATAATAAAAAAAAGATCGACAAATGAGTTGTCAGCCAGAAATCAGTCTCACTGTATACAGCTATAAATTTTTTCTTAGCTTTTCAGCACACAGCGGCAAAAAATTGTAAACAACATTTGATATTTCTTTTACCAGTTTAAAGTGAAAAATTATAAGCGGGTCATTCATAACAGAAAAAACCAATATCTCACAAAGTATCAATTATTACAAAACTGCCAGTTTGGATTGAGATTAAAAAGGAGTACAATTGATGTTTTGGTAACCATAAAAGAAGAAGTGCGTCAAGATTGGAACTCTAAGCCCACGAAGACACGGTACACATTCATTTACCTCAAAAAAAGCCTTTGATACAGATGATTACATGCGTTTACTAGATAAACCTAATCCGTATGGTTTTCGGAAACCTGTTTTGGAATTTCTGAATCCCCATTCAAAAAATGGACAACAATACAATGCCACTAAAACTGAACGATATCAAAATAAAACTGTGAGCTTTAGAGTACCACAGGGATCCATACGACTACTGAAATATTTTTGTTTTAGGAGAAGAACTGAGAGCATCGAAAAAAGAAGACAAAAACGAATATATATACTTTGTAAAGGAGTTACGTATCCATGAGTTATTAAAGTTACGTTGTAAGGTTTTGAGACAAGAGTGCATATCAGTCAAGTTTCAAGAAGCTGTATTCAAGAAAATTTGAATACAGTTTTGAAAAAGAGAGTTTAAGCTAGACAGTTACCTGTGAAATCAAAGAATAATCAAAAAAATTCAAAAAATGTTTGAATTAGAAAAGTTTTCAAGTTTGTTCTGAAATAGTACCCAGAATTTGTAACCTGGATTCAGAGCTGCACAGCATATCAATTACAAATCTTCAATTTTTAGTGTTTGGACAATTTTTTTCTAGAAAATTGTCGACCGGTTAAATTATTTTTCTTGTAAAAATAAGATTAAAAATATTTTGCCTTTCAACGGTAGTTATACTGCTGATTTTTTCCCTTTTTTGCTTCATACATTTTTTTATTTCCACGAAATGTTTTTTTTTCAAGATTTTTAAATTAACTATCGATATAAAAAACCAACAGAAGTTAAAGCAGGATCCGAGGCGCCTAAGAACGAGCTGCAAAGTTCCACGGCGTATTCGCAATGAGATTTCCTTTTGTCGTTAAAGTATTAATTTTTACTGTGAATGGAATCTACATTGCAAACAATTTATTATATTATGATTTTATTATTTGGTTATTTTTGAGCTCAGACGAATTTTTGTACTTGAGAATCGGTCGTCACCGTTTCGCAGTAAAATCGATTTAACATAGCTACTCAATTTAGGATTTTTGATCACAAAAATGCAACTCCTCGAAATCTAAAATCACTACTAACTACAGCGTCCACTTCCCAGGCCCTCCCTCGTAACTTTGAGCCAAAATGTTTACTTGGTTCAAAACTGATGTTTTATGCTAAAAAGTGACGCTGGAAGGGCCTGACTTCTCCGGAAGTTTTTCTGCTGATGTCAAGGTGATCGAATTCTAGTTTGACTTTGCAACTTGAGCAGGTGCAAGAAAGTCAAAACAAAGGTTGAGCACAGTAAAAAATTGAATCGGTCACAATCAAAAAATAGTCCAGCACTGTGAAAAAATGGTTGACCACAGTCGAAGAATAAGTCGAGCACAGTAGTAAGAAAGATGGAGCAGGCGAAAAGATAGAGCCTCTGGTTGACAAAGGTTTGTCTTAATTGAGTCTACTATATTCATAATATTCCATTTTTGTTACCGTATGCTAAATTTTATGTCAGCGGAGGTCAATAGATGCCCCAAGAGACTGTGGATGCTATTAAAAAAAACGAGTGAACAGTTTCGAGTGAACAGTTTTAGACATACAAAAGGCTTAGTTTTGTGAAAGAAATTGTGTTAAAATTAGAGAATTAGATTCTTCCAGTGCTCAAAAAATCGAAAATTCTGTTTCCTTAAATGGACTCAATATAAAACATATAAAATATAAAACAATATATGAAACAAGACTGCTCGTATCAGGGCAAAGCCCTGAATGTTCCGACTGCCTTTTAAGGTTTATGGAGCTGTAGTAACATAAAAACATTAAATGTAATAAAATAAAATGAAATTTTTTTTTCTAAAACACGAATTTTTTTATGAAATCATAATCCCACACGACATATAAAGTACAAAAGAATAGACTTCACTCCTATTAACTAATCAACTATGGCAAATAAGCTTCCTTGAACCAATTTGGAATGATTTCCATGACGGAATACATCTCCACTTACGCGTTAATAGCGCGAAATTTATCGCGCGTTAATTGTCCCAAATTGGCCAAAACGGCAATCTTTAAATCACAGGTGGAATACTTTTTCAAATTTAAGCTCAGGACAACAACACTTTTTGAATGATTTTTTAAAAATTCTGTCAAAAATGGCTAGTTAAAAAATCAAAATTTGTCTGAAGAAAAAAAAACCCACCCCGAGCACAAATATTCCGCTATTTTCGTATCGAAAGTCGGAACAAAAACTGAGTGGAAAAAGTATTCCAAAACACCATTCCTATTGTTTTAAGCGATATTCATTCAGATTTTTTAACATGATGGGCGAGGAAACTGTTTTAGGTCGATTACATACACTTTCTGAGCTTTCCTGAAACAATAATTATATTCCGAAAATACTGTTTGTGAATACTTTTCAAAAGTTTGAAATTTTTTTCGCCCGGGCTTTGTTCATTAATACTCAAATTCATATTTATTGTTATATATTGAAGTCGAAGGAGATTTTCAGGATGATCGATGATGGATCAAAAATGAATGTCGCGAAATAGTCTCAAGTTAGAATTTGTGACTATGTCGCGACATGCATTTTTGGGCTACCGTCCACCTAAAATAGTTTTCTAGCCCAATCTGTAGGAAGAGTTGAATGAATAGCACTTTAGAAGGATAATAGTGGTGTTTGTGAATATTTTTCGATCAGTTTTTTGATAAAGTTAGTAAAAACTGAAACTGCAATTTCTTAACACCGGAAGATCCTGTAATTCTCTGGTTGTACAAAAAATTAGCCTTTTTGACATCCTGACCACCCAGAGTGTCCCTAAGGAAACCTTTGGGTGGTCAGGATATCAAATTCCTGAGTGACAAAAAGTGGCCGCCAAACCCCCTCCCCACCCAAAATTTGTTACTGGGGATAATTTAAAAAAAAACATGAAAGGCCCAGAAAACCCGAGAAATTTTCGTTTGCAGGTATCAAAAAACTCTGGACCAGAACAGCGAATTGAAGGAGCGAGTGAGTGACGTGTTCAAACGGATAGGCCTCGTGGTCCTGGACAACACTGGAACCAGGGATCCAAAACTACTCAAAGCACCCTTCAAACACATTCTGAAGTCACGAGCTAATTACGAGGGAGGCAGCAATTACAGAAGGCCTATAGGGGTTGAGGATGTGTACGATACAGGCGTTACAAATGAGGTTTACTTATACATTCGTCAAAACTATTATAATACTAACTTTGAGTTTGCTAAAACTGACTCAAAACTGTCGCCAAAAGTTTTTATTCATTAATTTTGAGGCTGAAGCTCGCTAAAAACTGGCACTAAACGCTTTGAATACGGCACAGTGAAAATTGAAAATGGAATTGAGGGACTCACATAAGCGTTGAAAAAGTTTTTTAACTGATGTGAAATGATTATAACTGTTAGATGACTGAAATGATGGACCCATACGAACAATATTATAATGAGTTTTTGCAGCAAACGATTCACTACCACCACGAGATGGGCTACAGCAACCGACCTCCTCTCTCCATCTGCTTCATGTGTCTCCAACTGACCCCGGGGGTAGACGGCTTCACCTACTTCTGCGACAACACCGCATTCACCAGAGACATAGAGGCCAGCGACATTGGACAGAAGTTGATCCACAAAGGCTAGTCAAATTGGGACACTTTAAGAGATGGTTGATGATTCTATATTAAATAAAAAGTGATAGCGATTTGAAATTCACCAATTTATCCTAATTGCAGCACGAATATTTCACCAAATTTAAAATTGGTAAACCATGTCCTGCACACGATTGTTTTCTTTATTGAACAAAAAAATTTTAAAAAATCATAAATTTATATTCACGACATATTTATAAAACAGCAAATGGGGCTCAAGTTAGGGCGGCGTGATAAGGAGAATATTTAATATAATTGTCAGAAAAGTATGATTTATTCACAGCCGTTAATTCTTTTCAAATCAAAGAGAAGTTCTTAAGACTTGTGATAATTGATAAGGATTTAGCTCGCATCGATTGCGCTACTAATCATTAGCTGTTTTCCCCTTACGGATTAGTTTTAGGACTATCAATGAATGATTTACTGGAATCTTTGTGTATTTTTATTAGTTAGCATCAACTTTATCAGGAAATGTTGACGTAAGCTTAAAGTGAAAATACTCCGCACTTTTTTCGAAAGTCGAAGCAAAAATCTACAAAATTCAAACTTTAAACAAGATTGCTCGTATCAAGGCAAAGCCCTGAATCTTTTGACTGCCTTTTAAGGTTTATAGAGCAGTAATAACATTGGAAAATTTGAATCTAATAAAAAAAAATTTATTTGAGGTTTTTTGTGAAAATCATCATCCCACGCGCCATTCAAACAGAAAGTGATAGATTTCGCTCCTAGTAAAAATAAATTATGGCAAATAAGCTTACTTCAACCGCTTTGAAACAATTTCTCAGACGGATTAAATCTCTGCTTAAGCGTTATTAGCACTGAACATATCGCGCGTTAATTGTCCCAAATTTGGCCAAATTGGCTGTCCGCATCCAGTTTCAAGCGTTAATAATTAAACATAATTTAATTTTACTACCAGTCTTACGAAAATTGAAAAAAAAAAATTAATGAATTAATAATCGTTTGTACTTTCTTTTTTTGAAATCAAATATAATCAATTGTAATACATTATAATCGATTATAATCGATTATTTCTATCCAACTTTCTAGTTTATTTATTTTACAGACAAATCCATTAGAATCGATTAAAATAGATTATAACCCCTTTGTTTGCCCAGTTCGCTTTCGACCTGCCAACTGAAATGCTTATACTTTATGCTTTTTGTAGACGCTGGTTCATGTGAAAAATGGGAAAAATGTTTTAAACAGTTTTCAACTCAATTCAAATTTATACATTTTTTTTTCATTTCTTCTTGATTATAGTTGTTTCATGATGCACATTTTAAGTTTTTTTGAACACCAAAATATCAGCATACTGCTTTAGTTTAATTAATTTTTTAGAAGAGTTAGTTTTCAGCTACCGCATTTTCTTTCAACTAATATGAAGGTATCTCTACAAAACTTTTGTTTCGTGGTAAAACTTTGTGTTCAGATGAACCAAAACAAGACATCTCAGTTTTAGAGATTTCTGAAAGAAAAAAAGTGTTATAATCGATTATAGAAGATTGTAATAGATTATAGGAGATTATAAGAGATTATAAGATATTATAAGAGATTATAAGAGATTTTCGGAAAATTTATAATAGGTTATAAATGATTGTAATTTATTATAATGTGACGAAAAAGTTATCATTATAAAGGATTATAAATCGTTGAAACATCTAAATTTGACGCTTATAATTAAATACAATTTTGATAAAATTACAATTATAATTGTATTATAATCGATTAATTTATATTTTTACTGAGTGCGGGTGCTTTAAAACCTCCATAATACGAAAAACGATTACTGTTGAAATTTCTTTTGAATTTAGTTTCACGACATTAATTTTCGAATGATATAAGAATATTTAGTCGCAAATTGTTAGTTAAAAAGTCGAAATTTGTCTGGATAAAAAAAAACACACGTAGTACAAATATTCCGTGTCTCTTTCTTCGAAAGTCGGAACAATAACATGACACTATGCCTAGAGTTCTTTGTTGTCACATTGTCTAGAATATGCTGATAAAAAAGATTTTTTTTGAACTGTTGTCTGCATTCAGGCACAGTTATCATCAGAAGATGGGCGGATGAGAAGTACGTGAAGAAGCATGGCGTGACCAACTACTTGACCACGTGGCAACTATCCTTCATGACAGATGACCCCAAAGTGGCCGAAGAAAGAGCAAGGGAGCAGTGAGCAAAAAACTAAGTTTTCTTCTTCATTTTTTACTTTGCTTATCGAAATCATAAGCACGCTGATGTTGATTAAAAACATTTAAGTCCGTTCTGACCTCATGTAAACTTAGCCATTGAGTGAGACAATTAATGAGGCCTTGAACAGATTCAAGCTATTTTTCATGGAAGCTTCATCGGGGTTTATTCGGTTTTAAATTAGCAGAACTATTTTCCTTGAAATAAATTTTCTAACTCAAGATATGACCAACGGCGGAGCACAAGTAAAACTCAAAGCGACATAAGAAGCTACAGCTAGATGTTATGAAGAAAATAATTATAGAATTTCAAAATAACTGGTCATCAACTTTATTTTAAATTCTCGAGTGCTTTTAATTGTTTGTAGATGATAATTACAGGAGTCAACAAGATATCGAGTGGTGTGAGGAGACAGGGACTCTGAGCGGGAGGGTGTACCCTGACATATACGAGTACTGTCCCCACTCAGACAGGAACCTGTTCTGGTTCAGTATGGCAGACCACGCCATCTGGTTCGACACACACCCCCAAGTCAACACAACGCCAGATAACGTATGTTAGACACTTGAGGCTTAATTGTGCCTCAATGAGACACTTGGGAGGTTTAATGGGCCTCAAATAAGACTCTTGGGGAGGGATCAATGAGCTCTAAATGATACTGTTGGGGAGATAAAAGAGCCTTTAGGTTTTATTAATAACAAACAGATATAAAAGCAGAGGAACTTTCGCCCGGAACAATAAATGTATACAGTCACCAAAAATACGACATACATACACCAAAAATGAACGAACTATTTCCTCATGTTTTGGTCGTTGAAGGAATTGACTGCTAACAACCATACCCATGTCTAATAATCTTAAAAGTCTTGCCATTATCTTGAAAAATCTTGAAGATTAACCAACGATAGCAAAGAATCTTTTAAAAAGTTTATGTAATTTATATGCCTTTAAACGTTTGAAAAACAATCACTCCATCCCCAAGAATTTGTTTAATAGCTCTGCAATTCACTAAGCGAACTTGTGTTTTTCATAAAATCTTGGACATATCTTCAAAATTGTTCAAAATTTTTTGAAGATTATTCAAGATTTTTAAAGATAACCTATGAAACAAAAGTTTAAAATTTTTTATATTACTTATTGAAAATTTTATGAAAAAAAGAACATTATTAAACAGAATAGAAATAACGCTAACAACATTTGAAGAAGAGTTTTAAAATTTTGTCAAAACACTATATTTTGAGTTTTTTAATGTTCTTTTATGGAACTACTATTTATTATGGCCTAAATGAATTAGGTACTTGAATGGTCCATTTTAAACTATTACCTGCTTTCAGTGTCTGTTTTGTGAGAAAAAAAAGCTAAGGATAGAAACAAGAAGCATTTAGCAAAAGTAAATTTATAAAATCTTAATATGATTGGAAACTGAAAATCATCAGAGAGTTTTGAAAAAATGTTAAATGTCGTGATTTTAGTTAAATCATGGTCGCAATGCTTCTTTCTGCTTCGTGTGTCTTTATTTTTGGTTGGTTTGCTAATGGCTACAGTTTGTCTGAAAGGAAAAATCATCATTAAACGTTTTAATACTTTTGAGTGAAAAAATGAGGTTTTTTAAGACCGATGATTTTTAGTACATTTCTTTTTGTCCGAAAATTTTTTATTCAATCAATCCTTCATTTAATAGCTCATAATTATCGATTTATAAAATTTCTCATCTTTAATAAACTTTTTCTAAAGCGCTTGCAACCCAGATAAAAAAATTGTAAAATCTTCAAGATTGTTTGTAATCGTTTTTTTGTCTTGAAAGAAGTTTTGAAAGAAGTTTCTTCAAAATTTTTTTAAAGATTCTTCAAAACTTGACAATGATCGTAGAGACTGCTGGGCTTGTGCAGAGGGCAGCTCAAAGTGGAAATTATCCCCACTAATGTTCGATGGGAAAAATCAATTATGACTGAATTTCGTTTTCAAAAAAATGCCAATATGATAGTTTCTAATTAGTTTTTGGGGGTTTCTTAACTTCTTCCGCCCAGGTTTCCTATTTTTGCTATATTGTAATATTCAATCTTGATAGCATCTGATGATTTAGTAAATACAAATGCGATCAATTCATTATTAAGCGACTTCTAATAAAGCCGAACTTTGAACAGATACGAAACTTATCTTTTTTTCTCCTGGAGCTTTTTTATGTGTCACTTTTCAATCTGGGTGCAACTCTGAAGCATATTTGAAATAATTTCGAGTAGTTTACCAAACATTCTTCATTTTATGTCAATTCTTTTCATTTATAGTTCGAATGAAAATTGTCATTAAATCATTGTAAGATGATACTGAAATTTGATTGGCTAATTCTAGGCAATCAAAGTGAAGCACAATGGTTTCAGATCAAGATGTTGAACTACTGATTTTTGGTCAGAATAATAAAAAAGAACCTACTTTGCGACCACGCAAACGATTTTAATCCATTATTTTCAAAGAAATAAAATCAATTATAATGCTCTCCGGAATGCTCTTTAATTGGTCTCAAAACATTTTATGAAATAAAGAAAATTCGATAGAAATAAAAATATATATTACCAATATTTAAAACACAAGTTAAAGTTTGAGACGTAAAGGTAAAAGTATGAGTAGTCATTAACGTGCCTAATTTTTCCGACTTGTGAAAAAGGGTCGAAAATTTTGTGCTCTGTGTAGCTTTGTTCTTCAGACAAACCTCACAATTTGACTGACCATTTCTGAACTCACAGAAGTATATATCACCTGCGGTCATTTTTGTAAAATTATGGGGGTTCGAAGACTATGGTTTGACTAATTTGGGAAGAAATTGCGCAGTATGATCTTTAAATAGTGTGTGGGGTAATATTTTCAACAAAAATCTAAGAAAAAAACTGTTTATCAATTTTTTTCTTATTTTTCTCTAAAAGATGCATTATTGCATAAACCTTAGTGGGAATTTGAGATATTTAGGGTTTGCCCTAAAGTGAGCAGTATTGATTTAATTTGGAACAATTTTGAATGCTGGATAGTTCGCCACGCAAAATTAGTTTGAGTTATTCTCAGCATCAGCAAAAAACTTCAAAATTCGTTTAAATTGATACAGGGCATGGCCAAAGTGACTTTTTTTAAAAATCCAAGATTGTTAATAAAACTTCTTATTAAAGCTCCTGATGGCTAGTGAAAATTTCGTAACTATTACCATACCAATTGTGGCAGAAAATTTCTGGTTCGAAAACTAAAAAAAGGCGGAACGCATAAGAACTCAATTTCCCTCGGACGCCCCCCCCCCCTCCCTCTATCAGAGATTTGACGCCCTGCTGACCCAAAGGGTCCCCTCTTTGTACTATTATGAGAAATCCTTTTTTGATGACCGACCTTAAATTTTTTCTAAAGGCGCCTTCGGCGCCAATAAATACTAATTTTGAGGGGGAGCGCACGCCGAAGAAACGCCATTTTTTGGTCAAAATTTTCCAAAAAAGGCTTAACAACGCCTTTTTTGACATGTTTCTTCCAAATTTTGCCTGCGGCGCAGAAATTTTGGCGAAAACGGGGTTTTGTAGTGCTTTCAGAGAGCTCGGAAAATCAATTTGGTCGACCTCAAAAAAGTAGACAAGATTTTCGAAATTTTTTTGAAAATACGCCCCCCTCGAAAAAATCCTAGATCCGCCCCTGATTTCAACCATAGATTTGTTCGGTTCAATAGGGTCATCAAAGTAAGGAAGATAGTAAGAAGCGGTGATCCCCATAAGAACTAGTCCTAACTTTTGCGATATCAAGGAATTTTTTCTTCGTAAGCTTTCGATAAAACATTTATCACACCATAGACTTGAACTTCAATTTTGACTGATGCATTATTTCATTCAATCGTTCAATACAATACATCCCCAAAAAATTTTTTAAATTTTTAGAACCAGCGGATGTATTCTAAAAGGAAAATCATAACTACAAAAAAGCACAAACGTGGCTTCCAGATTATGGCGACCACAAAGTTCCCAGGATTTGTTTCCGAAAAATTTTCTTGCTGCTTTTTCTTAAAAAAATTCAGAGTATTAACGAAAGAAATCTAGAATATAATATCAAAATGAGTTTTTGTTGAACTGTTTTTAATGGTTTTGATACATTAAAAAAATTTATGGCCCTCAAAGAATGAGCAGCATGTTGGGAGGAGTTTCAAACGCCCCTGCCGACCCAAAGGGTCCCATTTTTGAAATATTTTGAGATATCCATTTTTGGCTGACGGACCTCAAAATTTTTCTAAAGGCGCCTTTGGCGCCAATATATATTAATTTTGAGGGGAGAGCGCGCGCCGAAAAAACGCGATTTTTTGGTCAAAATTTTCCAATAAGTGCCTAAAAACGCTTTTTTGGCCTGTTTTTTCAAATTTTTGCGGAGAAAATTTGGCCAAACCAGGTTTTTTTAGTACTTTGGGAGAGCTCGGAAAATCAAATTGGTCGACCTAAAAAATAAAAAGGTCGACAAATTTTTCGAAATTTTTTTGAAAATCCCCCCCTCGCGAAAATCCTAGATCCGCCCCTGTTATACAGTTTCGTGTTTTTTTTTCAAAAACTATGACGTTCTTTTCTAAAAAAAAATTTTGAAGAGAATCGTGAATGTTTTTTTTTACAAAATGGGATCATTTTTACTCAAAATTGCTGGGCTGATATCCCAATTTTTGCATCAACTGCGAAATATGCATAAAATACGAATGAAGCGACAATTAAAACAGCATTTACGCTGATGTTTATGAAATTTTTGTCAAAAAAAAGACAAAAAAAGAAAAGAAATGAGCCAGTTTGAGGCTTAATTGAGAAATGATTTAAATTTACTTAATTTATACTGCTTCGTTATTACAATCGCTTCGTTATTACAATTGCTTCGTTGTAGTCGCATATTACAATCTTGCCTTTTTTAAAAGTAATATCGATTCAATGCTGTTATGAAATTTTTCATTCTCAATTTTCCTTATTTGGTGGGTGGGGGGGGGTATAACTAAAAAGACCCATATTCTTTAATACGTAATAAGACAGTTTTTGGCTGTTCATTTATTTCTCAGTTTTCTAGTTGCCAACCATTTCTTGAATTTGTAAGTTGATTTGATTTGAAAAACATCTTTGGATTTACCTAAAAAGAGGGAAAATAATGAACGATTGAGCGGCTGTGTTGACTGTTGAGAGGTGTAGGCCAAGAAAGTGGGCAACTGGAACTACTTATGCAATAACCAGGGACAATCTGATCTTTTGGCCCAGATTTACTGAAAGTAAGAAGTCCACCATCATGTGCCGAACATGAACTATTAACAAACAATGAAAACACGCAAAAATATGAACCGATCCAGCATCCTTCCTCAAAAAGAAGACCTAAAAAAGCCTTCGCTTTCGACCCTATTAAAACTACTCTTAATAAATAATTCAAAATATATAATTAAGACTCAGTCATATGTCCAGTCTCATGTAAAGATTTTGAAAAGATTGAAAGAAAACTGCTTGTAAAGATCAAGTTTTGAGCTAATGAAGTTAAACTTTCATAAACCTTGTGTAAGTCTATTAAACTTAATTTACGGTAATAAACACCACAAAGATAAAAGAATTATTAATATAAAATACATGTATGCTGTTTATTTCTGTCTGCGTTGTACCGACTAGACTAGAAGCAAATTGAATAAATCTGGATTTGCATAAATTTACTGTTTATAACAAACTGTTTTGGTGAAAATCATCCGGGAGGCTACGCGAGTGCTCTCCGCGACAGTGCCTATCTCACGCTGTCGACCGGTGTAGACCAAATGCCCACTTTTTTATCTAAATTATTTAAATTGAATGAAATTTTTTCAATCTAATTTTGAGTTGATCTTTGTCTCGATTGAAGTCGATCAGTGCAAACTTATGGGCTTAGGTCCAATTTTAACCCAATTTGTCATTGAAAGCAATTACCAGGTTTTATTTCAGGAACGCCCCCACATATTGAAGTTTGGAGACGGGAGTGATCTTTCAAATGAAGAGGTCAGCCAGATCCTGGATATATCTGCAAACCAGGGCTTCAAACACAGCTGGAAACCAGGACAGTCTGTTCTGGTTAGAATATATATAGATTGTTTCAGCAGACATATAACCAGTAGACATATAACCAGTAGCGGAGTGAGGGGAGGGGGGATTGGACACTGCCGCGCCACCTTTGGGAACTATTTTATGACGTTGGTTGTTGGCTGCCGGAACCTGAAAGTTTCATAAAGACCGTTTTTAACCAAAAAAGTATTAATAAAACGATTCAATGCAATTTCGTGGTCGAAACTCCACAAATTGCCCAAAAATCAAAGTTTTGATATTTTTGAAAGATGTTCGTGGCAGCGCATATAAATTTGCTGAAATTCCTATGGAAGAGTCGGAGCCGATCTAGCAGGAGTTTCTCGAGGGGGGGGGGGGGGGGGGGGGGGTTGTGGGGCGGATTTTCAAAAAAAAATACAAATTTTATCGACTTTTTTTTGGTCGACCAAACTGATCTTTCCGAGCTCTCACGAGACCCTATTTTGACAAAATTTTCTACATCACAAGCAAAATTTAAAAAAAAACAGGCCAAAAAAGTTTTAGGCTTTTTTTGGAAAATTTTGACCAAAAAACCGCGTTTTTTCGGCGTGCGCTTCCCCCTCAAAATTTGTATATATTGGCGTCAAAGGCGCCTTGAGACAATATTTAGGGCCCGTCAGCCAAAAATGGAGGTCTCAAAATAGTACAAAGAGGGGTACCCTTTCGTCGGCAGGGGGTCCAATCCCTGTGGAGGAAGCGCCCTCCCCCCCCCCCCCCCCCCCCCCCCCCCCCCCCCCCTACCCTAAATCAACTGGCGTGGAATAGCGCTTTCAACTAATTTGTCGGCCTAAAATGTATTTACAGATTCTACTGATAATTGATTAGAGATGCTAAGAACTCTCTTGCTTAAACTGGGTCTATGGGGAGGTGTTTAATTAATAATTTAATGTGGAGAGGTGTTTGACTAGGATTGATCCATTTTTTTTACTAGCAAGTAATTTTTCTACTAATCAGAAGTTTTGTTTTCACGAAGTAACAAAACACTTTTCAAACATTTTTCAAAGTCGGAACAATTAAATAGAAACGATTGATTAAAAAACATAAATTAGGCATATAATAGCCAAGAAATTTAATCCCGCTCCTATAAATTGAGAAACCAATTTAAATTGTGTTTGTTTTAAATGCATGTTTTATACAAAATTAGTTTTCAAAGTTTCCTTTGGAGCTAGACTTCTTCCTTTCCTTTGATCTCAGGAAGTTCAATTAGAAGGGGGGGGAAGTTCAGCAAAACAAAACAACTAGTTTAAAATTACAGCGCGTTCCACAGAAGCAAAACTACCAAACAACTGAAACCAACCGTTTTCAATTGCATTTTTTAAATTCCGAAATCAGCCTCATTTTGCTCAAACAGATGTTTAAAAGTTATGAATTTGTAAATATTTAATGTTGTGTTTACTGTAGTCGTGCAACTACCGCTTCATGCACGGGCGACCGGGGATGAGTCTGAACCCCGGAGAAGTGAGGCAGTTGGGGGTGGTGCTGGGAGAGAGGTTCGAGCGAGTGGGACCTGTTCCTGGAAAATACTTCTGAAGTTACAGCCAAACTGATATGCTACAGGCTTGTTATAAAGTTGCGGACAAAAACGAAGACTTAACGTCATATCGATTATGGATGACCCTTGAACTCAGAAAAATGAATTGAAAGAGATATTCAAAATAAACAAAAGTTGATAGCGATTGTTTCTTGTTGAAACAAGATCAGATTTGAAATTTTTCTTGTGATAATGGCACCTTTTTTAAATAACACAGGACACTCCGGTCAAAATATTGCAGTTGCCTTTGTTAGTTCAGTAATATCTATAGTTTTTGGATTGCTTAGACCACTCTCCACTTGCTGTTCAAAACTGATTGTCACAATTTTGCATAGAAAACACATTTTAGCAATACTTTAGAGCTCTGCTAATAGTATATTTCGCAAGGTGTAGAGAAAAATGGCAACTTTTCGATGCCAAACTAAAACCAAATTGGCCTCGAAATGTGATTATGACTGATCGTAATGGACGACTGACAATAAAAACATCCTTCAATGCTCATAATAGTGACCTGGAACGGGAAAGGCATACCAAAAGCTTGCTAACTCTTTTCTTATCTTTCCAGAAAAGCGTATAAAAGTCATGTAGCAGACGAAGCAAAATTTTAGTGGAACAGGAAAAGATAATTCGCCAAAACAAGATTTCAGACCAGTTTTTTTGAACACCAGAAAAATGAAACTATTTCGGGAACTTCAATCTCAGACTCTCACTCATGGTATAATATTCTCAGCACGCTCTTTTCTTTCACCAACGCGTATAAAAAACTCTTTGATTTATCAAAAATTAATTCAAGATAGTTTAGCTGAGTAAATTAAAGAAGCACTGTTTATTTGCATAATTAAGTCTACAATACTGTAGTGTCTTGGCAAAAACCGACTGGTCAAAAAATTTAGATAGTTTTTTATCGAAAAAATTGTTCTTAAGGCCAAATTAAATTTTCGATAGTGCTTTGCTATTGTTGAATTATAAGCACAATTGATGACAAATTGTGAGTTAGTTTATGACACAGACAGATGTTTTTTTTCGGTCTTGTTAATTATTAGTTCTAGTGGTGTGCGCAGTTTTTCTAAGGTGGGCGGTTTTTCGAAAAAAAAATTAACATTTTTTTCAGCTCTCCAAAAATATTCAAAAGACCCTATGTTGGCAGAAATTTTTTGTGCTGCAGCATATTTTTGGAAAAAACGGTCTAAAAATGATGTTAGGAACACGCTTTATAAAAAAAAAAAAAGATGCATGTAGTTTTTAAGCAGGGCACAACAGCGGTTCTCCGTGGATAAATGTTCTTAATTTATTTTTTTAAATGCGTTTTTTTGGCGCGCGCTACCCCCTCAAATTTAGTTATTTTGGCACCAAAGGCGCCTTCGGAAAAATTTTCGAGGTTGACCAGCCAAAAATTGATGTAACTTAATACCAAAGGGGGACCCTTTGGAACAATTTGGCAACCAGAATTATCAGTAGAAAATCATAGCTCCATAGGGATCTACTGATTTGATCCCTATTGCAAAAGGAAGGGAGCTCGTTGTAAGGTACAAAACTCGTTGTAAGGTTATTCGCATACACTGAATCCTTGAATTGGTCTAGTTCAGGGGTGGATACTATTTTTAGGTACCATAGGGGGAGGGGTGAAATAGTTAGCCAGACCCGTTTTGTGTCTTGGTCATCTTCGAAAAACATCTTTCAGAATTTCTTAGTCGTATTCTAAATCGAATATTTAGCCAAGCATTCTTCTAGTACACTCAAAAATATTTGTAATTTCGAATCTAAAAATTTTGATCTTCCATATCTATGGCACCCATTAAATAATTGTCTCTCCTTATAGGCGGCTGAATTGAGCGTAAATGTGAATTATTGTACCCAACAACGAATAATGCTGAAACAGAGCAAAGGTTGTTAAAGAGATCAGTCATTGCAAATTGATGCTGCATACTCAGTTTTTAGCTCTAGAGTTCTAAACAGGGTTGGGTGTAGGTGCTGAAGCACGTTGCTGTGCGTTTGTTATGGGTGCTGGCCCCACCCTGTTATTTGGGGTCACGATGTGGTTGGAAAATGATCGAGTGGTGAGGAAGTTGGCGACGACGAGGAGCAGTGATGCCCCCACTATGACCTTGTCTATCTCCGGGTAGGGGCCATGAGTGCAATCGCCCTCCAGGGTCTCATCTTTCATGGAAAATGTCAGTTGTGCTGAAAAAAAAAGAGAAAAATAACTCTTAGTTATTTGCGTTATTGAGTAACCACCGGATTAGTTTATTATTGATGACTCTCTGGTCAGCTTGTTGAAAGTTTGTTGGGTTAAGCTAGCGTACTATTGGATGACAAATAGTTTTAAGTTATGGTGTCATGGACTCAAGTAACAGAATTTTCAACTTATTAGGCAGAGTTGGATTTAGAAGATTTGGAGAGGGCTTCGTTTTTTTTCTACTTTTCGTCAAGAAACTCCAAATGCGTCATAATACAGATCTGCAATAAATTTGAGAAGAGAGTGCGGGACGAAAAAAAGTTCAAAAAATTGTCTTAAATATTAGGGCAAAAGGAGGGTCATTTAATTAGTTTGGGAAATAAATTTTCTCGACTTAAAAAGCAGCAGTTACTATTTCCTAGAAACTTTTGGCTCCGCCTTCGTTAGGAAGAGTTTAGTTGCCGTGTGATTTTTTTTCGTTCATCTTACTAACTTTTCATTTTTTGAAGGCGTCTCCGAAATTTGATTGATTTTTTCTGCTATATCTCTCTGTTGTTCTGGAAATTCCGGTCGATAACTTTTTCAGGAATTTTTTTGATGGGGTTTAATTAAAGAAATGCCGCTTTCAAAATGAAAGGATTTCCTAATAGTATCATCAATTTGGTTGTAGAAAAATTATTTTGAGCTGAAGACAAAAAGATTTTCAAAATGATATTTAGGATGCTGCATTTAATTGTTATTTTAATCATTTGAGTTTTGATTTCAATCCTTCGATCTTGAGCCCGTTCCCTTATGCTTTTTTTCTCTTTCCTTGAATGTTGGAGTTTGTTATCTTGACCTTCTTAATATGTTAAGAAACGAAAGAATTTATTTCACAAAATTAGGTATTATACAACGTCATCAAATATATGACTTTTATATAAAAAAAGCATGATGACTTAAGAGAGGATGTACGAAGCACAAAACTAGAAGAGAATTTAAACATGAGTGAAAAGATTTTAAAAAAAAACTAATTTTTATATTACGCATAATACAATTATAATATATTATCAATCGTATAGTCCCTTTACCGCCCCCTGAGAGGTCTACCGTAGATTATCCTCCCCAAGCAGGTATTAAATCTGAAAGCTGATTCAGTAAAAAATATGCATTTCGGGGCATCGCCCAAAATGGTTTTAAATTTTTGTGCTCGGGATTGCCTTTGTATGATGGTAAATGCTTAGATTAACAATTCAATTTTTTCAGTAAAACGCTGAATTTTGATGCTGGCTTTAATTTTTTATACTTTCTATTAGATACCATAGGGTGATGAAATAGTAAACAAGACAGGTTTTTTGTCTTGGTCATCTTCAAAAAACATCTTTCTGAATTTCTTAATCGTATTGTTAATCAAATCTTTAGCCCTAGCATTTTACTACACTCAAAGAAACTTGTATTATGAGATCTAAAAACTAAGATCTGCTACCTATGTATATGACCCATTAAATAAGTGTTTCTTATTGTCAGAGGCAGCTAAATGAAAATAAATGTGGAAATTTGTACCCAACAACAAATAAATTTTCATTAAGTTGAAACAGAGGCAACTTCAGCATGTAAAATGTCAGTTGTGCTGAAAAAAATGAAACTGATCCCTATTTATTTGTGTTATAGAGTAACTACCGGATTGGAAGTTTATTGAAGACTCTCTTCTCTATTCAATTTGCTGAAAGTTTGTTGCAAAATTTTCTTCTCTCAAGTAAATGGGTTAAGCTGGAGTACTACTGGATGACAAACAATTTTAGGTTATGTTGTCATGGACTCCAGAAAACAGACTTATCAACCTATTATGCAGAGGTGGATTTGGAGGATTTGATGGGGCTTCCTTTTTTGTCTACTTTTCGTCACGAAACTCCAAATGCGACTATTACAGATCTGAAATAAAAATGAGAAGAGAGCGCGTTCCAAAAAAAAAACAAACAACCAGTTTGACCCGGTCTTAATTTTTAGAGACAAAATAAGATCATTTAAATATTTTCGGAAATAACTTTTGTCGACCTAAAACTAGCACTTATTTTTTCCTAAAGATTTTTGGCACCACCATTTTTTTCGTTCATTTTGCCAACTTCATTTTTTTGAAGGCGTCTGCAAAATTAGATTGCGTTTTTCTGCTGCATTTTCCGTTGTTCTGAAAATTCCGGTCGAAAATCTTTTTCAGGTTTTTATGGCGCGATTTAAATCAAGAAATGCCACTTTCAAAATGAAAGGAATTTCCAACAGTCTCATCAAATTGATTTTAGAAAGGTTATTTTGAGCTCAGGATAAAGGGAATTCTAAAATAATGTAAAATATGTTGCAATAAATTGCTATTTTGATTACTTGAGTTTTGATTTTCATCCTTCAATCTTGAACCCCGTTTTTTTATGCTTTTTCTCTTTCCTTGAAGGAAGGTGGTAGTTTGTCAACTTGAGCTTCCTAATATAGTAAGTAACGAAAGATTATATTTCACCAAAATCAGGTATTATACAACCTCATCAAATATTTATTAATTATTTGAAAAAATATAATGGGTTAAGAGAGGATATACGAAGGACAATACTAGAAGAAATTCTACACATGAGTGAAAAGATTTCCTAATATAATCTTATTTTCATTTCATATATAATAGTTTATAATATGTTAATAGGATCAATCGTACAGTCTCTCCCCAAGCGTGTAATAAATCTGAAAACTCATTACGAGGCCAAACTGTGCACTGGATAGGAGCACAATTTTGTGTCTGTATGTTCCTGGTTTCCAGAGACAAGTATTCAAACATGCTCCAAACTGTAAGTGGCTTCCACTTACGAGATTTACGTGGATTCCGCAACTGTATTATGTGGATTATAGTTAGTTGTTCTGGATTCCGCAACTGTAAGAGGATTCCGCAAAATGTAAGTTGAATCCGCAAATGTAAGTGGAATCCGCACAATTTGTAAGCGGAATCTGCCAACTGTAAAGGAATTCAGAAATTTGTTTATTACTGAACTTGCATATGCACATGCGGAATTTAAAAAAAATTTCAACCATTGTCAGCGTAATCCACGAAAAAATCTTAAAACATTTCTACTACTCCACCTCCCCCAACTTTCATTTTCAATTTGAGCAGCTATTTTAACAATGTCATAATGTGAGGAAATTCGGCATGGTTAACAAAATAAGTAATGTGAACAGATTTTCTCCTCATACTCAACATTGTAACATCATTCATTCATCCATAAAAAATGAAAACACTTGAATCAATTATCATTACGAGGCCAAACTGTGCACTGGATAGGAGCACACTTTTGTATCTGTATGTTCCTGGATTCGAGAGACAAGTCTTAAAATATGTTCCAAAAATTAAGTGGGTTCCACAAACAAAATTTCAGCGGATTTCGCATACATATACCTGTAACGTAAATTTTGTCGGCACTCTTGTTTTGTTGCGGATTCCGCAACAAACAAATATAGCTAGTTGTTCTGGATTCTACAACTGTAAGTGGATTCCGCAAAATGTAAGCGGAATCCGCAAATGTAAGTGGATTCCGCAAATTGTGAGTGGATTCCGAAATTTGTTCAATACTGAACTTGCATATGAACAATTAAAAGCTGAGCTGGAATTCTTATCTCTAGCAATGCGTAATTTAAAAGCAAAGAGCTAATCACTGTAAGCAGAATCCACGAACAAGTCTTAAGATATTGGTCACCTAAATCGGTGGATGTCATTTTTTAGTATTTTGGAAACACAACACCGAACAATTTCAATATTCGGAGTCATTGAGTTGAGAGTGTATGGAACACACAGCATATCGACAAATTAGGTCAGCATTTGGGATTGCGTCAATCCCAAATACTGATTTCGGAAGCATAACGCCGAATAAATGCAGTAATTGTAGTCATTGGGTTGAGAGTGTATAGAAACACGACACACAGCATATCGCCAAAGTGGATCAGTATTTGGGATTTCATCGATCCCAAATACTGGTCAGTAGTTGGGATTGATGGAATTCCAAAAGATGGAATATTGCGAAATAAATATGGAATATATCCAAAATTTAGAGTCATCAGATTGAGACTGATTAGAAACCCAACGCATAGCAAATTGTCAAATTAGTTCAGTATTTGGGATTCGATCGATCTCAAATACTGGTCAGTATTTGGGATTGATGGAGTCTGAAAAACTGGAATAATGTGGCATAAAAATGGAATATATCCATTATTTGGAGTCATTAGGTTGAGAGTGATTAGAAACCCAACGCAAATCAAATCGTCGAATTAGTTCAGTATTTGGAATTTCATCGATCCCAAATACTGGTCAGTATTTGGGATTGACGGAATCCCAAAAACTGGAATAATGTGGAGTAAATATGGAATATATCCATTATTTGAAGTCATTAGGTTGAGCGTGGATAAAAACCCAACGCATAGCAAATCGTCGAATTATTTCAATATTTGGGGGACTTCATCGATCCAAAATACTGGTCAGTAATTGGGATTCCATAAAACCCAAACACTGATCTATTCTAAAAAATTTCTATTCTAGTAAATTTATATTCTAGTGAAATCAAATCATGTATTTAAAGGCTACTACATATATAAATAAATATAAAGGGAAACCGCAAACAAAATGCTGATTCCAGTTACAATTTGCGGATTCCATTTACAAATTGCGGATTCCACTTACAGTTGCGGATTCCGCAACAGCTCAATTTAACGATACAAATGTTTTATCATTTGTTTGTGGATTCCACAAACTGTTCTGGATTCCGCAAATACAGTTGCGGATTCCGCCAATTCGCCTATTTTTCGAGCAATTTTGAGCGGTACAATGATTTAGGTGTTTGCTTGTGGAATCCAAAAAAGCATAGAAGATCAAAGAAAAGTAGCAATGTTGCTGAACAATTAGATACGTAGCAAAATAATTGCAGATAGATACGTTAAAGGACAGTCGGAACAATCAAGGCTTGTCATTGTAACAAGCAGTCGAATTGTTCACTTGAAGTTATTCGAGGAGAGACGCAATTATTGATCTTGTTCGCCCTTAGATTCTTTCTAACTGAAAAATTATTCAAAAAAGCTGTAAATTGTAAAGCCTATGACTACATTTTTTCAGAAAAATTAATCCCGGGAGTTCAATTTCATGACCATAATTTTTGAAAGGCGGCTTTTCTGAGTGTAAATTACAGCTGGTGCATTGTTCTATAACACTTTTTGGAAAACTGTAGCCTAGATGGTACTGACAGAAAATTCTGGCCGTTGCGCACCGTTAATTTTATCAGGCTTTTCCTTTTCGTGGCATTTTTTCCATTTTTCCCGTTTTGATTTTGATTTGACCTAAAAACTGTTTTGAAAAAACTTAGATAAAAACAATCTAAGTTGGTTCAAACTTAGTCCCAGCTTGGTCAAAAGTCGATTTTAAAGTGCACTGTTTAAAACTGTGGAGCTGCAATTATTTGGTCAATTCGTATTAGAAGTGGCACAAAAACTATAAGAATTAACGAAGCACATGAAGTAAATGCATAAGTAATGATAAGTAATGATAAGTAATGAAAAAAAAATGCTATGTATGAAAAACAACGCTGCTCTATTGAATGATTTCTTATTACGGTTACATGTTTTTTTTTGTAGAATGTCGTTCAATTAAAGAAAAGCAAGCCAAAAAAGCTGAAATGGCAGAATATCTGAAAAATGAATGAGTGGACAGCGTTAGTTTTTAAACAGTTTAGAAGAATATGGTTGGTTTGGTTTTTAATCCCAATCGGATTTTTCGCTTTGAAAAACAACGCTCCAAAAGTGCTCAATGTGAACTTTGACCGTCTCCAGAAGAAAGAAAAAATGTATGTAACCTAGGCAGCCACGCTCCCTCGAAATACTTTCCGTTTGATTCTATTGCCTAAAAAACTGAAACCTAACTGTTTAAATGTAACGGTTTACTTGCCCACATTCGACCGAAATTGTACTTAGAAAGCACTCGACCGTGTTAAGCAAAAATGAATTTTGCTACCAAATTGTAGCGCAATATGAACTATTGTAGTCGTTCGACGAGTTAAATCCTTTGTTATTAGGAAGTGGGAAGGAACTATACGCGGTTTTTTCTCTAACTTTCAACTGATCGAAAGAGAAAAAACAGTAAAGGATCAAGAATGGTATCATTTTAAAGCCTTATTGGTTGCGGTTTGAATTGCAAAAGATTCAAACCGCAACCAATAAAGGCTGCGGTTTGAATCGATACGTTAAAGGCTGCGGTTTGAATCGATACGTTAAACCTTGTACTTAAAAAACACTCGACCGTGTTAAGCAAGAATGAATTTTGCTATCAATTTGTAGCACATCAAGAACTATTGAATTCTTTCGACGAGGTAAATCCTTTGTTATTGTTCCGACTTTCGATATGAAAGTAACGGAAAATTTGTGCTCGGGATGGGTTTTTTTTCTTCAGACGAATTTCGATTTTTTAACTAACTATTTTTAAATTTTGATATCATTCAAAAAGTATTGTTGTCCTAAACTCAAATTTGAAAAGATATTTCCCCTGTGATCATTTTTCGTAAATTAATAGGGGTTTAAAGAATGCCATTTTGGCCAGTTTGAGACAATTAACGCGCGATATATTTCGCGCTATTAACGCGGAAGCGGAGAGTTAATCCGTCTCAAAATCGTTTCAAATTGGTTGAAATAAGCCTATTTGCCTTAATTGATTTGTTACAAGGAGCTAAATCTGTCTTTTTGAACTTTATATGGCGTGTGCGGGGATGATTTTCATAAAAATATTCAAATTTAAAGAAAAAATTTCATTTTATTTTAATACATTTAATTTTTTAATGTTATTAGTGCTCAATAGACCTTAAAGGCAGTTGGAACATTCAGTTCTTCGCCCTGATCCGAGCAGTTTTGTTAGGATTTGAGAAGGAACTATACGCGGTTTTTTTCTCTAACTTTCAACTATTCGAAAAAAAAAAAACAGTAGAGGATCAAGTGCGGTATCATTTTAAAGCCTTCTTGGTTGCGGTTTGGATTCCAAAAAAATTTTTTTTAAATGTCTCGAGAAAACCTACTTGATGTGTATTATTTTGTTTCCTAGACTAAATTAATGTGTTTAAATTACGAGCAGAGAATACACCGTTTGGCCTCGTAATGCTGATTCAGCATAAAATATGCATTTCGTGATATAGCCCAAATTGATTTCACATTTTGTTTTGTACGCGGGATGGATTGCATTTTTATGATGGTAGTTGCTTAGATTACCGTTTAAATTCATTTTTTTTTTCAGTAAAATGCTGAAGTTTGAATGATTTCAGGCTATTCTCAAAGTTAATTTATGGAATCTCCAATATTTTTTTTCTACAAGCAAAAGTTATGATTCTGTGCGTGAAATCAATGTTAAACCTTTTCAATTTATTTTTGACAATTTCATAGGTTTTCTAATAAAAACAAAACAATTGCAGATAGATACGTTAAAGGACAGTCGGAACAATCAAGGCTTGCCATTGTAACAAGCAGTCGAATTGTTCACTTGAAGTTATTCGAGGAGAGACGCAATTATTGATCTTGTTCGCCCTTAGATTCATTCTAACTAAAAAATTATTCAAAAAAGCTGTAAATTGTAAAGCCTATGACTACATTTTTTCAGAAAAATTAATCCCGGGAGTTCAATTTTCATGAACATAATTTTTGAAAGGCGGCTTTTCTGAGTGTAAGTTACAGCTGGTGCATTATTCTAAAACATTTTTTGGAAAACTGTAGCCTAGACGGTACTGAAACAAAATTCTGGCCGTTGCGCACCGTTAATTTTATCAGGCTTTTCCTTTTCGTAGCATTTTTTCCATTTTTCCCGTTTTGATTTTGATTTGACCTATAAACTGTTTTGAAAAACTTGGATAAAAACAATCTAAGTTGGTTCAAACTTAGTCCCAGCTTGGTCAAAAGTTGATTTTAAAGTGCACTGTTTAAAACTGTGGAGCTGCCATTATTTGGTCAATTGGTATTAGAAGTGGCACAAAAACTATAAAATTTAACGAAGCATATGATAAAATGTGAGCATTAGTAATGAAAAAAGTGCAATGAATGAAAAACGGCGCTGCTCTTTTTAAAAGATTCTTGCTTAATATGGTTACATACTTTTTTGTAGAATGTCGTTCAATTGAAAAATTTGAGAAGCAATCCAAAAAAGTTGAAATGGCAGAATATCTGAAAAATGAACTACTGAACAGCGTCAGCTTTTTTGAACAGTTTAAAAGATTTTGATTGGTTTGGTTTTTTATCACACTCGGATTTTACGCAATGAAAAAAAAACTCGCCAAAAACGCTCAATGTGAACTTTAACCGTCTTCAGAAGAAAGAAAAAAATATATGTAACCTAGCCAACCACGCTCCCTCGAAATACTTTCCGTTTGATTCTATTGCCTAAAAAACTGACACCTAACTGTATAAATGTAACGGTATATTTGCTCATATTCGGTCGACCTTGTACTTAAAAAACACTCGACCGTGTTAAGCAAAAATGAATTTTGCTTCCAATTTGTAGCGCAATAAGAACTATTGAAGTTTTTGACGAGGTGAATCCTTTGTTATTAGGAAGTGGGAAGGAACTATACGCAGTTTTTTTCTCTAACTTTCAACTATTCGAAAGAAAAAAACAGTAGAGGATCAAGTGGTGTCATATTAAAGCCTTATTGGTTGCGGTTTGGATTCCAAAATTTTTTTTTAAAAGTTGCCTCTAGAAAACCTACCTGATGTGTATTTTTTTGTTTCTTAGACTAAATTAGGCTGAGGCAACGAATAGTTGAAATTGATTTTCAAGTTACTTACCACCGCCGAAGCACGCCATAATGAAGGCAGTGAGGGCGGCGAAACTGCTGATAATCATCGAAGTCGTAATGCGACACCAAGTCGGGTTGCCGAACGTATGCAGGTGGAACAATGCGAACAGCAACTCCATCACTGGACACCAGATAAAGATCCCTGTAGCACGGAAGGCGTGACAGAAGCGGAACGCCAGGGTTGCCAGCACCAGAAGGGCCCCACTTAAAACAAAACCCATGATGTTGAAAACCCGTTCGTGTAGCCCGATCGTCGAGAAATGTCCTTCATGAGGAAAGAAACTCCCAGGATAGTAATGCAGTAATGCATGCGGGGTTGCGTTCGAGTTAGGTAATATGTATCTTTTGAGGATACACACGGCAGGATTGGCTCCTAGAGTAACCATGCTGATTAGTATCATGCAAATCAAAATGGCATCCGCAACAACGAAAGCTGAAATTAGCATAATGTCAATCAAAACTCTCGGCTCAGGGTCAAACTCGTCACAACGAGCGATTTTTGTACTATTCATGGTGAATTTCAACTGAAAGCATCCCAGAAAAATAGACATGGTATTAAATATGATCCCAAAACCCACGAGAACTATTTGAACGACAATGACGGTACTGGAACTTTTGCCAACAGACATCAGGGTCAAGCAAACTACAATGACCATGTGAATTCCAGTCCAAAAAGGAAACCCAATGAACATCATAGCGTGACAATTCTTCACCGCAAAGTTCCCGCAAATAAACATGATTATCATGGGAATGAGAAGAATAGACGCTGCGATGGCGCTTGCCGCTCTGGTGTTGTAAAGAGGATCTGGAAACGGAGGTTGAACCGACCTCGCATTACGTGCATGTCTGCGCCGCCGACGTCGTTCCCGATCCTCATCAATTCGCCGTTGTTTCTCCTCGTTTACGACAACTCGGCATAATGGACACGTAGAAGCTCGCTCCTCCCAGTGGTCAAAACACTCTTGACAAAATCGATGTTCGCAGGGTAAAGTTATCGGGTTTTTTAACTCATCGGTGCAAATCGCGCAGTCTGTTTCGGTTTCACTCTGCGAATCGGCTCCAGTGTCCTCCTCCGAGTCGTCCTGATCATCTTTCGACTGGTTGTTGAATTCCACTTCTCTTGGAGATTTAATTTGGACAACTTCAGGCGGTGATTCTTTCGACTTCGGTGGGTTCGGTTTTGATGCCGGATTAGAAGGCGGTTTCTTGGCACAAACGGGACATAACTGGTCAGCCTTGAGCTTCCCTTGCTTCCTAAGCAACACCGGGTTGCATTTTGAACATACTGTATGAGCGCAAACAGGAAGTCGCTTTAGCCGAATGTTCTGGAACACTCTCAAGCAGTTTTGACATTTGTTGTCTAGTCTATTCGCTGGACCAGGCATGTTGTCGCATTTTGAGCCGACCAATTTTTGACAACTGTCCTCGAAAGTTTTTGTCTGTAAAGCACAATCTCTTTTTTGACCATAAGTTTACTGAATTATCAAATTATGAATTCATTGCTTAATCTGGCCGCGCAAAATAAATTTTGGTGAACAATCAGGTCAAATTATTTTAGACTTAAAAAATAGTGAATTAAGAAAATTGTGCGTACAAATGATTTGTGTACATTGCACAAAAACTGCATGAAACTTTTGAAACGCATAAGAGCATGCTACGTCAAACAAAAATCTTTTTTTTTTCTGTGAGATCGGCTTTTTACTTCAGCACATACAAATTCATGTGTTTAAATTACGAGTGATTCTGAGCTTTCATGCTGTTACCATTAGTTTTCTAGTTCATGCTTCATCACACGAAGAAGGTTGATTTTTGGCAAATCGCTCCTCGCAGACTTTTTAGAGGCTTGCGGAGCTCAATTGTGACAAGTTACGTACGCTTTCTGAATGTGCGTCATTATAGTATGTTTTACTCTGTAACACTTAGAAACTGTATTTTTTTGTAGGTTGAAGTACCCTCCTTTCTCTCCACAGAAAGATTTGACCTTATGAATTTTTGGAAGGATTTGATTTTTAAAAAATAATTTAGTCCGTACGCGGTTCCCCCCAAAACTAATACATATTGCGCCAAAAGCGCCTTTAGAAACGGTTCAAGGTCAATCAGCTGAAAATAAATGGCGTAAAACAGTATCAAAAGGAGACCTTTTCGTGGTCAAAAAATCAACTTCCTGCCTCCCCAACCCTTAAATCTGCTTAAGTTTGCAATACAAAAAAATATGAAAAAAATTGTGATTCTAAGCAGGGGCGGATTTAGGGGGGCGGGGGGCGGATGCCCCCCCCCCTCAGGGATTCGACCCCCTGCCGACCCAAAGGGTCCCCCCTTTGATACTTTTTCAGAAATCCATTTTTGGCTGACCGACCCTAAAATTTTTCTAAAGGCGCCTTTGGCGCCAATATATACTAACTTTGAGGGGGAGCGCGCGCCAAAAAAAACGCGATTTTTTTGTCAACATTTTTCAAAAAGTGCCCAAAAACGGCTTTTTGACTGTTTTTTCAAAAATTTGCCTGCGGCGCTTAAAATTTTGCCAAAATAGGGGCAAAACAGTGCTTTGGGAGAGCTCGAAAAATCAATTTGGTCGACCTAAAAAAAAAGGTCGTCAAAATTTTGGAAAATTTTTTGAAAATCCGCCACCCCTCCCTCGAGAAAATTCTAGATCCGCCCCTGATTATAAGGTTTTTTATCGATCAATTTAGCTGCTTTTTTCACGAATTCAGAGACATGTTTAAAGAGATCCTTCTATCACTACTAGCTCTTTTTGTGTTCCCCTCTCAAAATTTGAATTATTCACGGCAGCGACGGATCTAGGATTTTCTCAGGGGGGTGGGCAGAGTTTCAAAGAAATTTTTGACATTGTTAGGACCTCGAATAAAACTGAGTCAATCAGCCCCCCTTTAAACAACTTAAGATAAGGATAAGAAATATAAGCAAAACGCATGAAGAATTTTTTTGCATCAATTTGAATTTTATTTCACATCCGCATAAATATATACACCCCACCCCCTATTGACAAATGTAAACTAGTATGAAATATCCTTCACTGTATTGCTAATGCACATTCTTCATAGAATATTCCAATGACGGAATTTACTTGGACAATGTTTCCACAGCCCTTCTTACTTAAATGGACTATACACTCACTATTTTTCATTCCTTGCAGTGAATCACCCCCATTGAAGGGAAAATATTTTCCCACTGACTAGTATACTTGTAGTATACTTGTATACGATACTAGTAATCGACATCTGTGATTTGCAGGTATCAAAAGAAATTCATCTCACTGGAAAAAGTAATTTCACTAGTGAAAAATAGGCTGAAAGTAAGTGATTCAGATATTTTAATGCCTACTTCTTATAAAGTTTTAAGAAAGCATCAAATATTGAATTGAAAAATGATAAAATCAATAGCAACTAGCTGAAGATTATGCGATCAGCATCAAAAATAGGGGTTCTAAAATAGTAGCGAAGGGGAGACTCTTTGGAAAAAACTAGCAACCAGAATTTGAGATGAGGCTCCACTCGGCACGCTACTCAGTAGGGGCTAACGAACTGCTTGGCTTCAATATAATCGGGAAACCTCGCAGTAATTTTATTTTCGTTGACGGAAATATTGCCATCAGACGCTCTTCTGTTAGAGCCTATAAGCTTTCTGGATTGTCAATTGGACCCTAGCTTTAAATAATATTTTTTTACAGCTTTTGTGGTTCAAAGTGTGCGAAAAATTTTTAAAATTAGTGTTGATTCATCCAAAAAATGGATATTTCAAACTACTGTTGAAATATTGTTCCGACCATTGAAAATGGGGAGGAACTTTGTATTCGGGTATTTTTTTAGTTTTTATTTTTTTTCCACGCAAAATCAGGTACCACAAATAATCATCGGACTGATTGGGTGATATATCATATTAAAGCCCTTACAGTCGTGATTGGAACAAGATAAAATTTTTCAAAAAAAAATGATTTCCGAACAACGAGAAAAACCGGTTTAAAATCTTTGATTTTTTTCTCTTATTTCGAGCGAATAAAGTGAGCGAGCAGTCTTGTTTTAAGTGCTTAAAAGCCTACAATAGCTTCATTTGAAATGAAAAAACTTAGTTTTACTCGAGTAACGTTAGTTTATTTTGCGTATTTCAGAGCATTTTTGGAATCTGAATTTTCAAAAATTCAAAAAACTGCAAAAACTTGAAAAAATTTTAGAAAGTTTTTGTTTTTTGTTTTTTTTGAAGTAATTTATCTACAAAAATTGTTTTTTTCATTTTGCTTTTTGTATTATGTCTGTTGAATCTACTTAATTTCCAGTTTTTTGTTCAGCTCATTTTATCGCACCACGCCGACAAAAAGAAACGAGAAAACTTTGTTGTATTTTTCTAAGACTGTGGTCGGAAGATTCTGTTTTACTTGCGCAGTAAACGGCTATCTTTTTCAAAATATTTATTTTCCTGCATTGTTGGACCGGGAAGAAATAGAAATTAAGCTGCCAAATTATGTTGTCATGGTTTTAAAAGTACTTGAGGAATAATAATGAAGTTATTATCGATAGTCAGCTTTAATCTAATTCGTACCCGCTGTAAGTCACTACTGATGTAAGCTAACAACTAGGATTCAATGTGAAATTGGCTCTGCAGTACTAGCAAGGGCATGCAAATTTTGCAAGAATATTGCTAGAGCCTCTCGAGAATCTTGCATATTTTGCATTCTCAATTCAGAATGGAAATCTTGAAAGAATCTTGCAAAAATCTTGCAAGTTTTACATGACCAAACAGTTTTTTGTACAAAAATAATTTCATTAGTTTTTCCAAAAAAACTAAATCAACGGAAATCTATATGAAACCAGTACATAAGATTTTTGCGTTGGTCACTTCAATATTTCCGTTTCTTTATCCACGCAAAAATAACGGACGATTTATCATATATGCTTTTCTGGCAAACATCTGAATTTATAGATTTTTACTTGCGTTTTTGCAAGTAACCTATTATTTTATAGTTAAATAACGGGAAAAACGACCGATATTCAACGCTTTTGACTTTTTTGAACTATGCATGAAATCTACCTGTACTATCTTGAAAACTGTTTGAAAAAAAATTGTATACAACTTTAAAAAAAACGACTTTGTATGTAATCGTGAATTTTTCTTATGGTTCGTTCGTCGTAGGGAAGCATAATTCAGCAATCTGTGAAACTTTGTAATTTAAATTAGAGATTGGAGATACTTTAAAAAGCAATGAACTTATCGCAAACAGTAAAAATAAATTACAACTATTTCATGGCAGAAGCAAAAACTTGCTTATTTTTTTTTACAAAATGAAAGCAAATCTTGCAAGGTTCTTGCAAAAAGCAGGAATTATGAAAATTCCTGCAAAATTGTTTGCCAACTTTGCATTCGGAGGACACTAGGTTACAATGCTTATGGAAGAAAAATCTTATTTGCGAGTGTTAGCTGAAAAAAAAATGAGATGTAGTGAGGAAAAAAACATTGAATGAGTTGGTTGAGTTATCTCTTAAATTTATGGTAAAAATTTTTTACGATACGGAGTATTTTGCATTTCATTAGTGAAAACAAAAACAATAAGCGAAAACGCTCATAACAAAAAAAGGCAACAAATTTTGATTACCCAGTTGCTTATGTTCAAGACATAAACTCCTGGTTCGACAAAGTTTGCCACTTTTTTGTAGGAGAAATTTAGCTTTTCATTGTTTTGGTCTAATGGCATGCAAAAAATTTTGTATAAAAAACTGCCAGTGAGAGGTTAGCAATTTTAAAAAGGTACATTAAAAAGAAGATTTAAAACTTTTAATAAAAAATCCTGAAAATATACTTTTATCATCCCAAATTGCGACAAAGAAAAACCCATTTTACACAGAAAAACCTACACATATGCCATGTTGTCAAAAACTTCAAAGAAAATTGAGGGAAAAAGACAGAAGGACAAAGCAGTATTTCTTGAAATTTTTTGTCAATATTAAGCCGGAAGAGTCAAGCGATCTAAGAAAAAGATGGCGAAAAAATCATTTAACCGAAACTTTATTTCGATTAAACGAGAAAACTTTAACATTCCAAGCTAGATTATTTTTTTTGGCATTTTATAGTTTTTTGGCAATTTAATAGGATTGATTTGTGAAATGTTTGTGCCGCTATGTATGACAATTTTTGTAAATAAAAATACGAACGCAGGCATTACGCTCGACATAACCCTCACAGGCTCAGAAGATTATTTAATCTTTGAATTCTGGCAAAAACTTTAAAATTTTAAACTTTGAAATATACTTTGTTAATTTTGCTAAAAAGATTTTTTGAGTGGTTAACAAATGCATCTTAAACTTGAAACCCAAGTATTTGTTCTGATTTGCTAGTTCACAAAATAAACTTCGAGTAAACTTAAACTTTTAAAGTTTTAAAGAAAAAAGCTGAAGTAAGAGCAACTATGCAAATCCGATTGTTGAGCTGGCCAGCATTTTGGTTTTCGATATTTGAAGCTCAGAATTTTTCCTAAAAACTTTTAAAATCAAAAGATCAAACTTTTGAACTGACCTACAATTCATCGTTGTATCTTATTGTTTTCGTCAGTTTGTTTTCTAAGTTTCAGCGCAAAAAAAAAACAAAATTTTTTAGTTTAAAGGCACTCAAAACTACTTAAAATCTTGCCAACACAATTTCAGCAA